TTCCATCCACAGATACTGGAACTGAATTATTTAGCAGCGTACTACCTATAAAGTTAGCATATTTTCGATTTTGCTAATAAACGATCTAATTTTGTTTCAGGACTTCTTGGAGATTTCGTTGGGCATTTTTAGGGACTACAGTCCATTTATTCTAAAATACTGGCATAAATTCAACAGAAGGCGGCGTAAATCAAAATTTTATTTCTTGGATTTCTGGGGAGACTTCTTTTTTCTGAGATTTCCTGGGCGCTTTATTCCATGCATACCAGATCCATGTCCGAAATTCAGCAGATTGCTGTGCAGAATTAATAGCTATAACAAAATGCCTTTGCTAATTGGCAAGACCTAGTTGAGGGTAACCATACTATCGGGGTTCGATTCCACCAATGAGATAACTAATCCCTTTATGACGGATTCAATTGTCACAATCTAAAAGTCAAAATCTTCTTCGTATTTCGCTTTCACTGAGAGGCGGAAGCGTACAGGAAGTAACCCTAGTGACAGCAAATGCCAAAAGCAACCACTCATTGACGAGGCTATTGGCACCCTCGGTTCAGTTGTTTCAATAGTAAATTGGTACTGGTATATACCAAAAAGACAGACCCGCCATCAGCTTACTTGTGAGGAAACTTAGAAAGAAAAAACCACTGGCAGCTTTGACAGCGAGTGGTTGCTGTTGGCACGTGCGACCATTCAGGCTGCTTACCCAATGCTTCCACTTCTCACAGAAAACGAAGACGAAGAAGGTTTTGACTTCTCCCTAAAAGACACATGCTAGTTGTTCAGAAAAGTTGTAATTTTCCCCCAAAATTCCATGTGAGCAACTGCTAAGATTGTCAAAATTGCCTTAAAAATCGGTGTAGAGTCGAACTTAAGTAATTTAATCGAGTTCCATCTAGACTTGAGTACAGCCATATTAGATCCAGCAGCCCCTCAAAATCGAGCTTGGCCGTCGGTCTCTTTGCGGTCCAAATTCTGGAGTGGCCAGAGCAAGTGGCAATTACTAACAGTTCCGGCCATATTATTTTTAGCTTCTATCTCAATCTGTGCAAGGATGTCTTTGGTGCAAAATTTACTGGTCAACAAATTTATGACGCGACGAAACGCACCAATATGGTATATGGCGATAGAAACTTCAAGGTTGTTGTGTGTGTGTTTAATTTATGCAAATGCAAAAAACATGTAGACAAGGCACTTGTTTGTATGCATATATATGTATATATATGCACATATATGTATATATATATATATATGCACACATACAAGTACGCATATATATATATGCATTATGTTTGTGTGTATGTATGTATGCATTAATATGTATGTGTGTATGTATGTATATATGTATGTATGTGTGTATGTATGTATGTATGTATGTATGTATGTATGTATGTATG